CTTAGAAATCTATCCTTTCAACGCCATTTGCCGATTCAGTCCTCAGGGAGGAGACTCCCACGTAAAGAAAAAAAGAAAATAATATATGGTTTGACAGAAACTAGGCTTTGATCAATTGATGTGAGAGCAAGATTTTCGAAAAGAGGGTTGCCTCTCGTCCCAACGCATTTTACACCAATATCGACCTTAGGAATTGGAATCGCTGTGGCGATAAGACGTATTCATTTAGATATATGGGTAACCCCCGCTTGCTTGGATTTTCTCAACTTCTCATCAGAGTAAACTCTGATGGAGGGAGAGGGCGGCTGAGGCGGATCTGGTAACGTTCTAGTATCCCCGCCATATTATTTCGCATTGAAGGAACCTTGGACATAAGGACGCCAATGTCCACCAGGATAAACACCACTGCCTGAGAGGCTCTAGTTGGACAAAGTTCAGACTGAAAACTGGAACGCTCGAATGCTTTGAGACATGGGTTGGTAGGTGGGGGAATTCTGCGGGGCGATTCATCCATCGGGTGATTCGGTAAATCAATAAACAATCGATCCCCTTTTTGTCCAATTATTTTATTTTACTCTGCGAAGCTTTTCTGCACTTTCATCATGAAGTTAGAGAGAGCTCATTATTTTCAAGATATTTTTCTCTGCATTGTTCCTGTTTGCGTATTTATGCTGCTTCCGACACATATATATGCAGCGTCTCTCCTTCTTGGCTGATGTCGGTATCAATCTCCCGTTCCTGGTAAGCTTCAATTCTGGTGACATCAATTCGATACCGGCACTCGACAGCCATTTTTATTTGGGAACTGGGAATAAGTATCGAGACATGGTTTCTTGATTTGAGGGTTGGGTTTTCAACACTTTTGAGGAAGGTCTGGGGTGGATGGAAACAGGCTCCTCAGTTGGTGTGCCAGTAATTTGTGTCAAAAAAGAAGAAGAGTGACAAAAATAAAAAGTCCAGAAATACTCCCAAGACTAATCATATTAATAACAACAGCATGAAGCGTAGGTGCAAGAGAAGATCACAAGGAAAAGAGACAAACGTTCTGGGTATTTCTTGATCAGCTTCATTTAAATCTCCCTGCAATCATGAAAGTTTTTGGGGGCCATTTAGTTTTTTCTTGTTTCTTCATTTGTTTGTCAGATAAGACATATCAAACAAAGGGGAAAAGGAGAGAAACACGAAACACTACCTATAGCCATGAGCTGAAGAAGGGGTGAAAGCGAGAGACCCACAAGCTAAACAACGAAATGAAAGGGATGTTAAATCTCGTCAATCCATCCAAACGATAATTTTTAGAGATATTGTCCTCTTTATCCCCTGCCATAAATGCAAAAGAATAGAGGGACCGTGGCCGTGCTAGTGGTGCTTAAACATCCTCCGGCACATAATTAAAAACCTTTGAACGTCTTCCTGGAATACCGGTTATCGCAAGATCACCCGGCCTCCCTGACGTGGTGATGCTTGGGAGCCCGCGCATACGCCTCCATCGATCCGTCTGGAGCATCATATCAGGACTCACCAGGAAGCCCCACTTGAGCCAGAAATTATCACCTATCTCCCAATTCTTTGGGTCACAAAAGTGGCCCCCGCCCCGGAACTTACCACCAGCGTCACAGAAATCCATGATTAACTCCATCTCATCGAGCAGGTGAGGCGCATGGTAAAGTGCGATGATGATAGCTTCGCGAAGTTGAGGTATGGGGACCGTGTCGATCCAATATGGATGTGGGTAATTCAACTGCGCAGGTGTTGGAAGCAGGGTAGCTAGAGGCCCTTCGAACCGGGAAAGGATTTCTGGAGATAAAGTTCTGGTGCCAGGGATGAAGAAATCAGCATTCCACCATTTTGGGGCAGGTGGGTGTTTGGGATTGGAGCGTGAAGGGAGGTAAAAAAATGGAGACATCTGTTCGCCGTTTAAACCGAAAAATTCGCATCCCTTTGGGATTGCGAAGAGTTTTTGGATTTCGCCCCCGAGATATAGTGTTGAGTGAGCGTTGGAAGACACAATGCCGAAAGTCTTGTCGAGGGGTAATTTTATTAGCCACGTGTCGTAGCTAATGTTTAGTTCCGAGTTATCTGATTGTAGGGAGTTTGTTGTTGCTGAAGAGTATGGCGAATCGGCGAATCCTCCAAAATCATATACTGTCTCGGACAAGTCATCCCATGATTTATCAAACCTTGACGGCATGAAACTCCAGTAATCACTTCCTGCTCTTTTCAAGGGCCGCCGTAAGTACGGCTGAGCTGGCTGTGGTTCGGGAGAGATGCTGGGTTCGCCTACAGTAGGGGATTGATGCACATCCTGCTGAGGAAACCTCGACTCATCGGGCCCAGGTTGTTGAAATGCGATACGCTCAGTTGCATTTGTACTTCTTTGGGCTGTGCCTGAATGCTGGCTATGGTAGTCATCATGGCTTTGGACCGAGGAGGAGCAGGATTTCGGGAGGGGAGCTAGTCGATTAGCTGAGATTTTCTCCCATTTACTTTCGTTTGAGGGGGTCGTAGTATCGGACTGTGTGACTATTACGCTGGCCTGATTAATGGAGCTATTGGATGCAGAGACAGGCGACAACTGGGGTGAGGGTGACAATGACAGCCCATAAAGCTGGTCTGGCCTTTGTAGTTTACCTGTATATTAGGGTGTTAGCAAACAGGCATTCTCTATCCAAAAGCAAGGAGGACACAACTCTGCAAGCCATACCAAATATGCGCACGGAATCAATGCGACAAGTATAGGATGAGAATCTATCATCATAAAACGCGGGACATATTTTCGTTTGATATTCCTCAAGCGAACGGGACGGCGGGATTTTCTGCCATGGCCGTGTTAGCGAGTTAAATAGGAAAACTCATAAGGACGGCAAGTTTGGGAGAAGCTCCATACTCCTGTAACATAATCCAGGTCATCACATGGTAACAACACGTCTGAAGGTATCGAGTGCAAAGTGAAATGAGCTCTAAGCCGGAGAGAAACCAAATAACCGTCAAAAATATAGAGCTCCCACCATGTTCTCCTCCAGCTCTCCTCGTAGACGGAAGACACGTCTCCCGTGTTGAACTGGCGGCTGTTCATCCCCAACTCGACAGCAAGCTCAATGGCTTGCGACAGAGTCGAGCTGGCGAGGGTGATTCCTTCCCAAAGTGCAGAGCAATGG